CCTGCCGCTGCATGGGAGGGACTGCAATGCACCTTCAGCTGCTGCTACATGGGAGGGACTGCAATGCACCTTTAGCTGCCGCTACATGGGAAGGATTGCAGTGCACGTTCAGCTGCCGCTACACGGGAGGGACTGCAGTGCACCTTTACCTGCCGCTACATGGGAGGGACTGCAGTGCACCTTCAGCTACTGCTACATGGGAGGGACTACAGTGCACTTTTAGCTGCCGCTACATGGGAGGGACTGCAGTGCACGTTTACGGTCCAGCGGCTCCATCGAGTGTTACCCCACCACACACAATCTCACTCACAGCTTTTCCACAAAGGTACTGCTACTCACCTGGAAAAAGTTTTGAGTGTTTCTCTGCTTTTTCCGGTTTCCCTAAGAGATGCTCCTCATCCCACTCCTCTTTGTGGAGGCTGGCTTTCTCCTGGCTCAGATCGCACTGTCTTCTTTGATCTAAAACCAAACGTCTCACTTCCTCTAGAATGTGGAAGAGAGGATTGTGGACTCAGTCAGTTAAAGGCACCTCCTTCAGACCCTCTACCTGACCATCGCTTGACTCATGATGGACATGAAGCAATAGGTAAGGTAGATGAGACCGAGCATAGGGCTGTCATCCCAGAAGCTGGGGAGGCCGAGGCAGGAGGATGGCATGTTGGAGGCCAGCCTCAGCAACTTAGCTGTGGTCCCCAGCTACTCAGTGAGACCCTGTCTCTAAATAAAATATAAAAAGGGCTGGGGATGGGACTCAGTGGTTAAGTGTCCCCCAGGTTCAATTCCTAGTACCTCCCCCCCCAAAAAAAATAGACCACTGTGCTAACAAGTTCTGGCTCATGAATTACCCTGCTGAATAAATTGCCTCTTTTCTTTGTAATTTGAAACAGACTTCTTAAAGCGTTCCTTCACTCCCAAGAAACAAAGAGTGTATATCGGGAATCCTGGGACCAAAGGCAGGATTTGGAACCACAGGTACTCCACACCCCACAGGAAACTATTAACGATGATCATCTCTGGAGAGACATCATGCGATATTGATTTTTTTTTTCTCCTTTTGGTACTCTGTTGCTAAGTTGTTTTTACGAAGTGAATATGCACGGCCTTTATTAGTGGGAAAAACACAAATCACAATAGCCCAACCATGGATGGAACCAGCCTAGGTGTCCATCAACAGATGAATGGATAGAGAAAATATGGTATCAGTATCTATACACTATGGAGTGGGGTTTTTATCTTATTGTTATTTTATTTATTATCATTTTATTATTAATTTATTATTTTATTGTTATTATTATTATTGGTTTTGGTACCAGGGATTGAACCCAGGGGTGCTTAACCCCTGAGCCCCAGTCCCAGCCCCTTTTTAAAATTTTATTTAGAGACATGGACTCGCTGAGTTGCTCAGGGCCTCGCTAAGTGGCTGAGGCTGGCCTCCAACTTGCCATCCTCCTGCCTCAGCCTCCTGAGCCTCTGGGATGACAGGTGTGTGCCACTGTGGCTGGGCATAATGATATTTTTATTCAGCCATAAAGAAAAGTGAAATTATGGCATCTGCAGGAAAATGGATGGAACTTGAGAACGTTATGTTAATCAAAGCAAGCCAAACTCAGAAAAATCGAGGGTCATATGTTTTCTTTTATGTGTGGGAGCTACCGAGGAAAATCAAAAAGGTGGGGGGTGTCGTGAGACCAGTAAAGGAGAGGAACCAGATGGAGGGAGAGAAGGGCAGGGAGAGGGGAACCATATTGGCCAAATGACACTGTGTGTGAATATGTAATAGCAAATCCCATCGTTATACATAATTATGGGGCTGGGGATAGAGCTCAGTTGGCAGAGAGCTTGCCTTGTATGCACAAGGTCCTGGGTTCAAGCCCCAGCACCACAAAAGTAGAAAAGAAAACATAATTACAATGCACCAATAAAAATATGGAAAAAGAGCCGCGTGTTGGAGCACATCTGTCATCCCAATGGCTGGGGAGGCTGAGGCAGGAGGATGGCAAGTTGGAGGCCAGCCTCAGCAACTGAGCAAGACCCTAAGCAACTCAACAAGACCCTAAATAAAATATAAAAAGGGCTGGAGATGGGGCTCAGGAGTTAAGCACCCCTGGGTTCAATCCTGGGTAACCGCCCCCCCAAAAAAAAAGGTAGTTTAGTGAATCTCCACTAGGGGGCAGTGTTGGCCTCCTGGGGACATCTAGAAACGTCTAAAATGTTTTCAAGGGTCACTGTGAGAAGCTATTGCTGACAGCTAGTGTGCAAAGACCCCGGATGCTGCTAAACACCCTATCATGCCCAGGAAATGCACCACAAGCAGGATTTTGCCTGGACCAGAATGTCAACTGTGCCAGGAAAAGATCAAAACCGAGAGGCCCAAGTCCCCAGTGGCAGAACAGGTCCCCTTGAGAAGACAGGCCAGAAAGTGGGTGAAAGCCGGCTTCCCAGTATGCACCGTTGGTTCCAATTCTACCATGAAAACCAAAGTGATGACCTTACTTTGCTCACTGTAAAATGGGGAGAATTATATTTGTCTGCAAGTAAAAAATAATGGTTCTCTTACACATGTTTCTTATTTTCTTTTCTTTTCTTTTTTTACCAGGAATTGAACCCAGGGGCGCTTAACCCCGGAGCCTCATCCCCAGCCTCTTTTTTATATTTTATTTAGAGACAGGGTCTCGCTAAGTTGCCTAGGGCTAAGTTGCTGAGGCTGGCCTCCACCTTGCCATCCTCCTGCCTCAGCCTCCCAAGCTGCTCCAGACAAAAGTTACAAATCTTGAAACATTTTAGATTTCAGGGTTTTGGATGAGGGTTACGCAAACCATAGGGAGAAATCCCAAGCTTCCAGAAACATCTCAAGAGTTAACACTGAAATGCCTGACTTACCGAAAGATCCTGCTTCTTCCAAATAACTGGCGGCCTTCAATCGGTAATACCTGACTTTCTTTGAAATCTTGTCCTTGGTGTCCCAGAGCCTCAAGGTTATTTTATGGAAATTCATTTTCTTTAGCAATTCCTTCGTCACGTTGATATTAAAACTTTGGCTCCAAGACACCCATAATTTGCCACCTTCAAGCCATGGCTTAATAGTCTGTATTTAAAAAAAAAAAAAAAAGAGAGATATCTAGTTAAGAGAAAGTCATGTGATTGCAGGTTGTCAGCAGGGCTGGGTGGCCTGGGACCCTGAATTCCTAGCAAGCCCCAGGTGATGCTCACCCCGCGAGTCCCTGGAACACATTTTGCCGCAGTGCATAGTATTCTACTTGCCAGGACGCATGCGCACACACACCTTGACTCCGGAGTCCAGGAACACCTTGGCCATCCCAGGAAACATCACCATGTCCACCACCTTAGGTTCCTCATCATCTGGCAGGAGGAAATACTCAATGTGGTAGAAACGACGAAGCTTCGCGATGTGATTGTCCAGTTTGGGGTGTTTCTTGAATTTTTCCAGAATGTTTAGATATTTTCCTTTAATTCCTAGAAGGGGTTAAGTTGAATGAATGAGCTTTGTTTTTACCACGTGGAGGGAAAAGCAGGCCTCTCGCCACAGCCCCCTGGAGCCAAGTGCTATGGGAAGGGCCTCCCAGAGGCCCTGCATTGAAACTTTGATCACCAGCCTGTGCGGGCTGCTGGAATGTTCTAGAATGGTTTAAGAGGTAGAGAGCCTCGTGGGAGGAACTTAGGTCATTGGAATGTGACCTTGAAAGGAACATTGGGGCCACAGGTGGCATCTGCCTGTCATCCTATGACTTGGGAGGCTGAGGCAGGAGGATCTCAAGATGGAGGCCAGCCTCAGCCACTTAGCGAGGCCCTGAGCAGTTCAGCAAGACTTTGTCTCTAAATAAAATATAAGAAGGGCTGGGGACGGGGCTCAGGGGTTAAGCACCCCTGGATTCAATCCTTGCCCCCCCCCAAAAAAAAAAAACTTATGCTAAGTTGCTACATTGCTGAGGCTGGCCTCCAACTTTTGATCCTCCTGCCTCAGCCTCCAGAGCTGCTGGGATGGCAGGCGTGCCCTACGGGCATCCATAAAAAAAAAATGCAGACTGACTGGGAGCACATCACCTGCTTCTCAGTAGCACAACCCACTTTTTTTTTGCAAAATGAATTGGAATTCTGCTTGACCACCTACCAAAATTCACCGGGAATGCCAGGGAGATGATGAATTTGCAAGGGACGACCTGGGGGACATCAGGCTCAAAGGGGCTGACGGGCTCTTCTTCCAAGGAGCCGAGGGTGCCCTCGTAGTCGTACTCCTGCACCCTGGTCCCCAGGTAATCCTCCACCACACAGTCGTTGGTGGTCTGGAAAAAGCTATGTAGAGAAGTCAGGGGGTCCATGATGGCCGCGTCCTCATCCTCCCACTCCCAGGCGTTCAGCGACATGGTGCTGGGCTGCCTGTCCCAGCTGGGAGAGAAGAAAGGTGGAGTCACCCTCTGCCTGCAGGAGAGAAGCCCCGCCTCCTTCGGGGAAGCCCCGCCTCCTTGGGGGAAGCCCCGCCCCTTCTCTCCTTTCCCTCACCCCACCCAATGCCAGACATTGGGTGGGCATTGGATGCTGGCCTGAGGGGACAAGTTCAAGATCTATAGAGGTAGCCGAGCACAGGCGGTGGCTCATGCCTGTCATCTCAGTGGCTGGGGAGGCTGAGGCAGGAGAACCACAAGTCGGAGGCCAGCCTCAGCCACTGAGTGAAGCCCTAAACAACTCAGGGAGACCCTGTCTCTAAATTAAAAAATAGAAAGGGCTGGGGACGGGGCTCAGTGGGGTGAGCCCCCCTCCTGGGTTCAATATCTGGTCCCCCCCAAAAAAGAAAATCTATGGAGACACAATCCCGGGGACTGTTGGAGGCGGGCGGGGAGGCCGGGCGGGGAGGCCGGGCTGGGAGGCTGGGCTCGGACATCTGGAGTGAGGAGACACATAGGGACCGGGGTCCTCCAAGACGCGGGGTACCTGTGCGCGAGGTGGCAGCCCCTCGGCTCAGCCCTTGGCCTCAGTTGCCCCTGGGACTTGACAGCAGCGAAAAGCCCCGCAGGTGGATACAGCAGCAGCCAGGCCCTGGCAGCTCGGCTTTGTTTGGCCGTTGCTAGGAGACGGGCGGGCACTGGAGGCTAGGGGCGGGGCCAGGGGCGGGGCTAGGGGCGGGGCCTCGGCGCCCAATCAAAGTCTGTCAAACTGGTGCGTTCGAGTTCCTAGACCCGTTGTGCTTTCATCCATTCAGTCTTTAAGGAGCTCCTACTCTGGGCATAAGCACTTATTATGCGCCTGATGTTTTTCTTTTTCTTTTCTTTTTTTTTTGGAGGGGGGGGTACCAGGGATTGATCTCAGGGGCACTGAACCCCTGAGCCCCCTCCTCAGCCCTATTTTGTATTTTATTTAGAGACAGGGTCTCCCTGAACTGCTTAGGGCCTCGCTTTGGCTGAGGCCGGCTTTGAACCCTTGATCCTCCTGCCTCAGCCTCCTGAGCTGCTGGAACTACAGGGGGGCACCACCATGCCCTGCTCTACAGGCAGGGAGCTAACACTCTGGGCAATGTTGGAGCTCTTAGGGTTTGGATCTAGAATGTTCCCCCACAGGCTTGTGTGTTGGAAGCATGGTACCCCCATGCAGCAAGCTTCAAAAATGGGGCTTTTAAGCAATGACTAGTTCACAAGGGTTTTGCCCTTATCCATGGATTAATCCTCTGAAGGCTAAATGCATTACTGGGGGTGGAGCCTAGTGAAAGGAAGTAGGTCACTGGAGAAGTACCCACCCTGGTGGTGTGGCTCTGTCTATCCGTGTCTGTCCCTCTCTCTCATTCCTTTTCCTGGCTGCCACGAGCTGACCATATTTCTTCCCTAGATGTGCCTAAGAATCCCGCAGAACAAATATCAGAAATTAGATTCTGGCCCATATCTGTAATACCAGCACCTCCGGAGGCTGAGGCAGGAGGATCGAAAGTTGGAGGCCAGCCTCAGCAACTTAGCCAGGCCCTCAGCAACTTAGCAAGACCCTGTCTCTAAATAAAATTTTTAAAAAAAAGGGGGGGGGCTGGGGATGTGGCTTGTGGCTAAGCACCCCTGGGTTCAATCTCTGGTAAAAAAAAAAAAAAATTGGTTAGGCTGTACTTTGATAATGAATCAGGTGGGGAAAAGAGTGTTTGTACTCCTTGACCCACTATTACATCACCCAGGATCCAGAACAAACTGTTCTCCATATTATTTTAATGAAGAAAACGTTGAAAACCACTTCTGGGCCAGGTACAATGGCGCACACCTGTCATCCCAGCAATTGAGGAGGCTGAGGCAGGAGGATCGCAAGTTGGAGGCCAGCCTCAGCAAAAAGACCCTAAGCAACTTAGTGAGACCCTGTCTCTAAATAAAATTCAAAAAAAAAAAAAAAGAGGGCTGGGGATGTGGCTTAGGGGGGGTTGAGTGCCCCTGGTTAAATCCCCAGTTGGAAAAAAGGAAGGAGGAAGAGGAGGAGGAGGAGGAGGAGGAGGAAAGGAAACCACTTCTTGGGACAGACACATCCGGGTAACTCGATGAACTATGGAGAAAAGTTAAGGATGGCAACGCTGTTTATTTTAATGCTTGGTTCATGTGCAAAGCGATCTGTGCTTTTTATGTCAAATTCAATGGGGGGTACAATTGACATCCTGTAGAATCGTCCCCTTCAAACACTCATGAATGCAAAAAGTCTGGAAATACATACTGCCCCGAAAGAACCAGGGTCCCCTCTTGGTGACAGGATGGTGGATTCCTTTGCCTGTTAGCATTTTTCTAGACTTTGAACAATGCACAGTTGGAATCGCCTCCAAGGATACAGAAGTGACTTCAGAGAAGGGTTTCTTTGCC